GAAATGTAAGCAATCATTAATTCGTTCATGCATTCAACAAATATTAACCATCAGACACTGTTCTAGAGGCAAAGATGTAGCACTGAACAAAGTGGGTAAGTATTCATGTCCTCATGAAGCTTCACTCTCACGGAAGGAGGCAGACAACAAATAATAAATGCAAAGTGCAAATAAATTATATAGTATATTGAGGGCTCTAGGTGCTATGGAAACCATGAAAGAGCAGGGTAGGAAGGTCAGAAGTGTCAGGTGGCCAATTTAAATGAGGCTCATTGAGAAGGTGACACTTGAACAAAGACTTGAAGGAGAGGGGATAAGCCATGCAGATGTCTGGGATAAGAGCATATGAAGGAACATCCAGTGCAAAGACCCTGAGGTCAGAGTGGGAGTAGCAAATTCAAGAAGCAGCCAGGATGAGGCCAGTGGGGCAGGATGAGAGTGAGGGGTGACACAAGAGATGAGGTCACAAATGAAGCCTATCCACCATCAACCTGTTGGCCCTGAAAACAGCCACTCAGAGATCACACCGACTATCACAAAGCTGAACCTGGAGGTTCTCAGTCAGGAGTGTTTTTTTGGTTTTTGGTTCCCCCCTTCTTCAGGGGACACTTGGACAATGTCTGGAGACAGTTTCAGTTGTTACAACGGGGAGGGGGGGATTGCTAATTGGCATCTAATTATCCTGAAATGCTGCTAAACATCCTACAAAGCACTGAACCGCCTCCTACCACAGAGAATTATCCTGACCCAAGAGTCAGTAGTGCCAAGGGTGAGAAACCCTAAATTTCGACATAAAATGGAGAAGTCAAAAAGGCAGTTGGATGTACAAGTCTGGAGTTCAACAGAGAAGGCTGGGCAGGAGATATACATTTGGAAATTATAAACAAATAACTGGTGTTCAAAGCCTTGAGACTGAATCAGATCAGCGGGGAGTGAGTGTAGATGGGGAAGAGGTGTTGTGTGCCTGGCGTTCCAACAGGAAGAGGGCAGGGAAGAGGGGCTGAACCGGCCAAAAGGCTGAGAAGAGGAAAACAAGAATGAGGATTGAGGAGGAGGTGTCAGGGGTTTGGAAAGAGGGGAGATGTGAGAGAAAGCTACCCTGGAGAATGGGAGAGTAAACAGACTAGGGAAGTCCATTCTGGGCCCACAGGAGGTGAAGAATTTAAAATGAGACTAGTCATTTGGTTACACAGATGCAGGTTCAAAGTTCGAAGAGAGATTTGACCAGGGTTGTGGCTTTGCCAAACAAGTAAGATGAGCCATCAGGGGCCAGGGAATTGAGGGCGTGTGCAGGGAATAACTCTAATGATTAACTTAAGCTTTGAAAGGAAGGAAAGCACTGAAAGTTGAGAGGCAATGAAAGGTGGTAGTATAAGCAGATAGGGTAGAGAGTCCCCAGAGAAAGAGAACGAGGCATGGCTTTCCTGACATAAGAGAAGCCATTTTTGGCCTAAGCCATTTTGTGATCTAAGCCTGGCCTCGGTAATTAATGATCTTAAGGGAAGTGAGGGAGTGAAGGAACAAAGGAAAAACAGTCAAGGAACAATAGGTCAGCAATAAAACAGAGTCCCAGCTCCTCCTCAAGGGATATATGTAACAATTGGATACGCGTCCTTGAGTTCTGCAGGAACTAAGGCCTTCACCCAGGTGGAGGATAGAAGGATGATGCTGACCCTCCTGACTTCAATCAACTAAAGCTTGGACTCTGTCGACCTTTGCCCTGATCCTACGCTGAATTCTCCTCTGCTCAAGCCCCCTCATGAATATGCATGTACCTTTAGCTTTAGACTTCCCCAATTTTGCTGTTGGGGAGACACTGCTTTGGGAAAGATACCTGTTTTCTCCTAACTCGCTGCAAGTAGTAAATCCTTCCTCCTCCCTCTCTTTGGCTTAGTTGTATCTTTTGGTTCGACACCCACCAGGAGGCAAACTCATTTTTTGGGCAACAGTGAGATCAATGGATTGTAGACTGGGTGAGAACAGAAAAATTGTTGAGGTTGGGATACTAGAGTGGGTAAGGCAGAAGATCAGGGGACAGTGATCAGAGTGGGATGCATGCAACTGAAATTAAGGACGGTAGAAATGATTGGTGTTGAAAAAAATTCAAGGAGTGAGGGCTGAAGTGCAGGAGAGTTCAAGGAACTGAGAAGCCAGATTGTTGGAAAATCATCATCTACGCGTGTACTGAAATTATGACAGGAGTAGTGGAAAAGAGTGACAGGGTGCAAAGGGAGCTAAAATCATCCAGAAATAAGGTGGAGTAACACAGGGGTTACTGGGATGACTGCAACACTGGGAAAAAGCAGGTCATAAAATTATATAATGGAGAGAAAAGTCCCACTTCTGTACATATATTCTAAAATAAAAACATTATTTCTCTAATAAGAAAAAAATTACTGTAAAAGTTGTAGGTCTATATCAAATACTCTTTGGAAAGAGCCAGATATAGATGAGTATGCACACACGCACATTCAAATGTGAATATAAATATATCTATGCACATATGATTCTTTGATATAGATTCTCCTCTTGAGTTACATGCTTCAGAATAAAGGTGTTAAAAATAGTAAAAACTGGGCTTCCCTGGTGGCGCAGTGGTTGAGAGTCCGCCTGCCGGTGCGGGGGATGCGGGTTCGTGCCCCAGTTTGGGAGGATCCCACATGCCGCGGAGCGGCTGGGCCCGTAAGCCATGGCCGCTGAGCCTGCGCGTCCGGAGCCTGTGCTCCGCGGCGGGAGAGGCCGCGGCAGTGAGAGGCCCGCATACCGCAAAAAAAAAAAAAAAAAAAATAGTAAAAACTTTCTTACAAATGAAGGACAGCACTAACAAGGTATAATGTGAATATTCTATTAAAAATCATGACGCTTGAGAATGCTGTTCTATCTTAATAAATAATAATGTATACTGTATCTACCTCAAATTCCAATTATTATTTTACTGAGTTCTGCTATTAAAAAAACAGAATTATGAATTTTTTTCTCCTCCTTCACTTCATACACTTTAATGCAAGCAGGATCATATGCCTAGATGCAAAAGATAGAACTATAAAGTTTCTAGAAGAAAGCAAAGGAGAATATGTGTACAGCCTTAGAGTAGGCAGGGATTTCTTTTATTTTTTTAATTAATTTTTATTGGAGTATAGTTGCTTTACCAGAATTATGAATTTTATTGGTCACTAAACAGGGTTACATCTGAATAGCTCTTCTCTCGTGAATATATTATTATATGCCTTTGAAACAGAAAATTAGGAAAACATTTAATTCTTCCAGTTTCTGGAGCTCAAGCCTTTGTGGGAGGTAGGGAGAGAGAGGAGAAAGAAAGGAAAGAAACAGGAAAAGTATGTTTTCAGAAGGTTTTTATCCATCCCTCTGGGTAAGCCACACTCTTTTGGTCTTTTAAAGCTTTAAATTTTGCCTAATACCAACCATCTATGTTTTCTCCTTTCAGCAGTGGGCCTGGGCCTACCCTTAGAAACCTCTAAAAACCAGAAGAGAGGAAGCGGAAGAGAAGTAAATGGCGAGGGAGGCTAACGAAGAATGATTTTGTATTGGAGGTGGCCAGAACAATTTCACACGTTGCCTGCTTACCTGACACCAAGTCATAAAAGTCTGATTTAGTGTTTGTATTCAGCCACTGAACTGAACGGGATAAGATTTATCCCATGAACGTTTATCATCCTGTCCTGTCTCAAAGCTATAATTTGCAAAGCTGCAGGAAGGGTTCACGGTTGGATACAACATGTGCTCATCCTGCTGAAGATTCCTTGTCCACCCTACTAACCATACCCCTTCCATTTAATTCAACCTCCTGTGGCAATGCATCTTCTCAGGTTATCACCATATTATTCTGATAAGGTGGTGAAGACTGATACTATTATTAGCTCCTTTATAAATGGGAGATATTAAGGCCCAAAGTTCCAAATAACAAAGTCCAAGTCCCAACTCTGGCCCTTGGGCAGGCCCCAGACAGTGCTCTGCCCCTCCCGTGAAACGCCTCCCTTGGATTCCACCCCCTGAAATCCTGCCCCTCATTCAAGGCCAGAGGCGCAAGGTAGACTGGGAAAAGCACCAAATTGGGGCTCAGAAGCTCTCCGTTAAAAGTACTGCCTCCGCTCTTTATTAGCTATGTGCCTCAGAACCAGTTACTTCATCTCTATTCACCGCAGTTTTCTCATCTGCAAAATGGGGATTAACATCCGTTTTGCCTATCTCGTCACAGAATACCTGTGATGAACTACTAGGAGAATATATGTGGAAGCTCACAGCAAACCGTTAAGAGTCACACGAATGTCATATGTTATCCAAGGTCCAGCTTGAGTCCTACTCAATCCAGGGAGCCTTCCAGACTTTCAATCCCACCCCCTGGCATTTCCTCTTACACTATTTATCTCAGTACTTGATCTATGGGCTCTTGTGTTGTTATTTAAATATTTCCAAGTCAGGAACGTCTTCCCTCAGAAGAGTCTAGCCCAGGGCTATAAGCAAGCAGTTCTCCGTATTCTCAATGTGACGCATGAACTGGTGGAGCTGAGAGTACACCCTGACCCTCCTGGTACCAGGGTGCTCATTTCTACAAGAAATTCTTGCAAAAGCTTCCCTATGGTGTATAGTTATACTCACGCTCTAATAAGAGGACTACTGACTGAAAGGCAAAGTTTTCTCTTTAAAAGAAGAGGGCACACCATATCAATGCTTGAAGAGACCAGAAGCATGGGCCCATCACAGATAAGACCCCAAGTCAGAGGAATCCTGCCAACAGTTCCCAGCGAGGGAAAAAAAATTTCCCCATGCACTCACTTTAGGTTGAGGAGGTCTCACAGGGATACACCTTGCTGGATATATTTGCAAATGAGACAGCCCTTTGTTTGATTTCTGGATGAAATAAGGCATTCTACAGGTTTTCAGTTTCTCCTGGGGAAGATACACTCTAAGTATAGAGAATATTTTCCTCAGGGCCTCTTGGTAGCTTTCCCATACAAAGCCAGCTGCTAGTAGTGCTTTACCTGATCTCTGTAAACCAGCGTGCTGGGGTTTGACCGTGGTTTGTCTTTAAACGAGTAGGTGGCCACGTGCTTCTTTAACAAGTCCAAGGAGTCAGGAGGCATGTACTGGGGAAGGTCATTTAGTACCAGATCGTTTCTTTGCAGAAGAGGTGGTTTTTTCCTTCCTTCATTTTTAAAACTGTATGTTGCTATCACTGGATTTGATAGAGATTCTTCAATAAAAGTTTTCAAGTGGTAAGTGCCAGGATTAGGAGTGTTCTGTGGAGAATTGACATCATTTTTAAAGTCAGTGTGTAAACTGGTTAACATCTCTTAAAGCATCATTCTTGCAAAGGTCACTCCTAAGTAGCATTTCTCTTTGTTTTACAGTTTAATAAGATTCTATCAAATAGAGTCAACACTCCCGCCAGAACAATATTTCAAGACAATCACGATGATTTCCTTTCTGAGACAATTGCTAAATTATAGCAAATGGGTTACGGCCATAGCTGAAGTTTTAACTTTTTAAAAAGCAGCTTCAGAGATACTTAAACTTGAGATTCAATTTGACTGTAAATGTCAGGCCTCTCATGAGACCCCTCAGGATAAGCTTCGTGACTAAACAGAAGTTATCCTACTTCTTCTTAGTAGATACCACGTGTTTCTTTCTATCCCTCAAGTGGGAAGCTAAAGGATAATAACACGAGACTGAGGATGAATTGGCAGAACACATGGCCTAATTAGTCCCATAAGAGGTTTGGTACTTTCAAATCACAGCCACAGTATGGCTGAATGGCCAGACCTGACAGTTTAGTTGCTGCTGCTTTTGTGGCCATCTTCCCACTGAGCACTCAGCTCAGTTCTACCATTAAAATTAGTTCAATTCCAAGGAGGCTTTAGCTCCTGAGGCCCCTCTGTTATAGAAAGGTGTGAACAGAAAATATTTCTGCCATATAGAAACAATGTATCTTGAGAGGCAGATCTTCCAGTCATCTTTCTTTTGTCTTGTTTTCATACACTGATCATGTTAACAAAAGTTATCATAGACTCTTACTTTTTATCTAAGTAAGATAACAACCAAAATCAAACACATTTCCAGAATGCATGCTTTTTCTTCCTTGTGTAATCTCACCAAGGTCATAAACTAGGTTGACTTTATCAAGATATCCTGTAAAACACCTGGATTCCTAGAGTTTTTACTTCCAAGCTTTTACTGCATTCAAAATTTAAAGTTAGTTTCTCAGTCATATGCTGATACTAAAATTATAAATATGAAATAAGGCCCATGTAGATTTGAACAACCATTGTTTTCTTAAAATTAAGTATTAGTGACTTAATCAGGTTAGACTGATTATAATACTAATAAGAATGAGAATACTTTGAATAGGAAAGGATGAAAATATACATACTCTTAATGTTATTCTCCACCATCCTTCTCTTTCAAAAGATGACTTCTGGCTTGGTTTCTATTAATAAACATAAAATGTGCTTATTCATTTTAGAAGTGATCCCTGGAAGTTAAATATCACTTATAAAACATGTACTTGAAGAAATGGATACCAGTACCAAACTGGTCAGCCTGAATTAAAGTAAAAGCTACATAATGATAAATTTTGCCTGTAATATTTCCTTAAATTACTATTTTATGATCTTAATTGCTTTTTAAACAACTAAATTCCCTTTGGGTAAATTAGAGTAATAAACATCCCCATCTCACAGAGATGTCTTGAGAATAATTAGAGGTGACAAAATTTGGTGCTCTTAGGAAGAAAAGAGTTGTATGAACCCAAAATTGTGTTAGTATAATTGTTATTAAGATTTATGGCTCAGGGAGCTCAAGGTAAAAATGTATAGTCATCAAATTAATGGGATATTGGGATACAAATTCCTGGCGATATGGCAAATGTTGAACACTGCCATTTGCTGGATTTACATATGCTATGACTTGGGCTTGAACTCCAGCTCGGCCACTGGCTAGGAGCACTAGGTAAGTTAACCCTCATGAACCTCAGCTTCCTCTTAGGAATACAAAAAAAGGCACCAGGCCTGGCATGAAAATAAGGCATTGTAAAACCTGTACCCACAACCAGGGCTCAGTAAGTGGCAGCTTTTATTTTTAACATCTCATCTGTCAAGTTAAGAAGCAGATTATTTTGATATTCTTCAGTTTCCAAGGACGCTCTTGTCTTCCATAGTTACACCCACTCATTATCCCATATTTGTTTCAGCTTCACTGTCAACAGAACACGGTTGTTTAGTTTTTTCCTTTTGTGCTATTTGCAGTAGGTAAAAATCATTAAAATATTGAGTTCTACTTTCATTTAGAATACTTTTGTTATTACTATGAAATATAGATTATCTCAAGCAACAAGGCATTAAAAATAATAAACAATCTAATCAGTCAACAGATAAAATTAATTATTCCTGTCTAGCAACTTATAGCCACTTACAAGTACCCTTGGGCTTTAGTTTTACTATGAAATATAGGCATTTCTCTAAAAAAGCATTGTTTCATACGCACTGCTAAGTCTGAATTTCTTCCTATACATTCCCTTTATTAGATTTATGTTGAATCTTCTCTGTTGCACAAATATAGTCACAGAAATCAAACTTTTTCAGGCAGGTCGAGACAGGTCTCCACCTCTACCTAGGACCAAGGAAATAAGGTGGGAAGAAAGGAGAAGTAAACATGATACATCTAAAGGAAGGTAATGGGCAGCTGCCGTTTTGTTTTGCCCAAGACAGGTGATCTCAACTTCCCCTATCTCCCACTTCCAATTCACTTCAGGGGTGAATCACTTTACACAAGACGGGCTAGACATCCCTTGCCCAAATTTATTTGAAAACTAAACAAAGATACTTTCAAATATTTTATAAATACTAAAGTAGGAAGCAGGGCAAAAACGTGTCCAATAGACTAAGGAAGGACAAACGCATTCTCTCGGCAGAGGGGAAAACGAAAGAAATCTAATTACCCTATTAAAACAGTTGTCCAGTGCAATTAGCAGCAGGTAAGGGGTGGGGGGGAACAACACAGAAAACAAAGGGCGAATGTGAAGGATAAGGGAGAGCGAGGGAAGAGGAGAGCAAACGAAGTGGCACTCAAATACCGATCGGGAAGAAAGGACCGCAGGCGCCGACGTGAAGGTAGGGAGAAGCGGAGTGGCGCCAGAGCCTGGGCTTAGAGAGAGGTGGGACTTGGGGCGGAGCTCGGTGAGGGGAACTTTGTTGTGGAGGTGGGAGGGCAGGGAAGGAAGGCGGTACCGAGGCCGCCCCGCCTCCCTTCTTCCCTTACTGCGGCAGAGGCGATGGCCATGATTGGCTGGTCCATTGCTGCCGCCTCGCTCCCTAGGCCGAGGCTGGCGTCCGGTTGCCAGGAGGCGCCTCAGTCCGCCGGTTCCTGAGCGTGCGCAGGGCACCCGCCAGGTTCGTCTCCGGATGCGGGGGAAGGGAGGCGGGCACACGCTTGGAGGGCCCGCAGCAAGCCTCACGCAGAGGAAATGGGTCGAGACCGTCAGGCACATGCGTGGTAAGGAAACCTAAAGAGCGCGGGAGTCGCCAGAGAGCCCTCGGCAACAAGTTTCTGCGCCAAGGGAGGCCTGCAAAGGCTAAAGCGCCCCAGGATCTCCATCAGCCCTTTCCCAAATCACCTCAGGCTTGATACGCATAGATTTAAGGCAAAAATCAACCTCAGCACCCACTTTATTTTTTGAATTTTATTTTTTTATACAGCAGGTTCTTATTAGTTACTTTATACATATTAGTGTATACGTGTCAATCCCAATCTCCCAATTCATCCCACAACCACCTCCACCCCTCCCCCTCCTTGGATAGCACCCACTTCCTAAGATTGTTTCTAAACTCCTCCAGAGGGAAATTCTGGGGGTGTCACTTTTGAGAAGTGGAGTGAGTGCTAGACACAACAGGCTGTAAAACCACGGATTACCTTCTACCATCCGTATAGACCCTCTTCATTTTCAACCTCTCCTGGCTGTAGCTTCTCAACCTATAAACATTACCATCTTTAAAAACAAACGTCCCCTTAAGCTTAACAGTTCCATTTTATGGAGTATCTGCTGTGTTCCAGATATTTCACACATATTTAATCCTCAAAACGACCCTGTGAAGTAGGTGTTAATCCCATTTATGAACAAGGAAACAAGCTTCCTTGGACAGTTTAGCATAGCTTACTCTGCATCACACAGAAGTGGCAGAGCCAGAGTTCAAATCCAGGTCTGACTCCAGTGCCCCACTGTCCACTACACCACGAAGTTTCTGCTTCCGTTCACAAACTTTCAAGAGTAATGTGGATTCAATACTTTCCTCACCCCCACCCCCATACTTTCCTAAAACCATCTTAATCTGACGTGTGCAGGCACCTTTCAGTTAAAATTGCATTTAGTAACTACGCTAGCCAGTTATCTAGTTGCCAAATCCAATGGGGATTTTTCAGGCTTTTAGCAAACTTGACCTCTATTTGTCATCATTGCATTGATTATTCCTCTCCCTGGCTGCATTTGCTGATTTATTGTGATTCTTTGTCTATAAGGAGGTGATAATATATTGGTACCTACATGGGGTGATTAACTTGAGTGAAATGTCTGGAACCACATCTGGCACAATGCATTCAAAACATATAATCACTGCCTTTAGGACAAAAGCAAAATTTACAAATTTACAATCCAGTCTCACCTCATTAGAACCTCATGATCTGATGTATACTTGCAAATCCCAAACATGCCATCTTCACACTTCTATTGTCTCCCCATATGCTAGCCCTTCTGCTTGAAATGCTATTCTCTTCTTCGATGGCCTGGCAAGCCTCAAGGGTCAGCTCCTCTGAGAAGTCCTCCTAGGCCTAATCCCTCGTACCCCAAAGGACCCTGTTCCTCTCTTTACTGCAGGACTCACTGTGACAAATCATGTCTCCCCTAATTTTAAACATAACCAGAACACAGGTTTTTGTCTTAATTCTCAGCCCTTTGAACACAGGAAGAATTGAATATTTGTTAAGTTTTCCTTTTATAAATAAAACCAGAGGATGGACTACAGTAGTGGTTTTCAAAAACTAATGTGCATACAGATACCAGGAAATAATGTTAAAATAAAGATTCTGAGATTCTAGGGCAGGGCCTAACCCTCCGCATCGCTAACAAGCTCTCACAGGTGATTCTGCAGATGACTTTCTGAGTAGCAAGAAACAGGAGGACGCCATTAAATTTCTCTTGAAATACTGGGATTCTGAATTCAACACAAGCCTTAAAAATAGCAGGAAAGGGCTTCCCTGGTGGCGCAGTGGTTGGGAGTCCGCCTGCCGATGCGGGGTACGCGGGTTCGTGCCCCGGTCTGGGAGGATCCCACGTGCCGCGGAGCGGCTGGGCTCGTGAGCCATGGCCGCTGGGCCTGCGCGTCCGGAGCCTGTGCTCCGCAACGGGAGAGGCCACCACAACAGTGAGAGGCCCGCGTACCGCAAAAAAAAAAAAAAAATAGCAGGAAAAACGGGAGGAGAGGAGCCAGGCACCAGGTTTGAAATCAAAAACTGAAAAAGTAAGACCAAGAGACAAGTAAAAAAACAGAACTTTCACAAAACTGATTAAGCCAGTCCGTCACTGTGCCTCATTTCATTTTCTTATTTTGGCTCAGCCTGTAAAACTGGCTCAGCAGACTAGGGACTGGTACCCTAGAGACTGAATATGATGAAAGGTACAGAGAAGTCCAGAAACCCATGCACAGTGTGAAATATAAGGAAACACCTAGATGAGAAAATAGTTTTGGGTATCGCAAAAATAGAAACAGCATGGGTAAATGATTTCAAGGACTTCACCAATAAAGCAGACTAAGTATGCAGAATAAACAAAATGTCCCCTTAAGAAAACACTGTCTTGCATAGTATCACTGAGAAAAGTTTAAGATTTATTTTCAGGTTATCATTACAGCAGTTTTAAAGGGAGGAACCATTTCTCTTTGCAAATACGAGACTATACTTCGTAGAGATCAACAGTGCCTCTGCTACGCATCAGATTTTTCATAAAAATTCTAGGTAAAATACTTCATATTCTACATATTCCAGGATCACTTTTAACTGCAACAGTGATAGTTTAGGTTAGAATCATCTGAAAGCAAACATACTACAGACAGTATTTGGGAAAAGAATCATCAATTACCATGATGCTAATATAAAACAGGTAATACGGGTAAGATTTGAAGATAAGGTTTTAAAATTATAGTCCTGATTTAAGATTATGTAATGCTTACTGTGTGATTTTCATGAAGATTACAAGAATATAAAATCAGTAACATGATACACAAAGTACCCCAAAGACGTGTTTTCCCCTTCCACCTTGTTATCAACAACTTTACTTCAAACTATTGGAACTGGAAAAGCACCAATATTAACTTTGCCCAATTCCCTCATTTTACAAGGATCATAACTGATTTAACAGCATAGATTGAACACTTAATGCAAATACCAGGAACTATGCTAAGTGCTTTACCTAACATTATTATAAAAACAAAGTTAGAAACCAGCTGGGTAAATCACACCCATTTTACAGGTAAGATAACCGAGGCTCAGGTAATACTGATCTCTTCAAAGTTATACAGAGCAATGATCTGAATACTGTTGCAGTGAAACTCCAAAGCCCATGTTTAATATTCTGGAGATTACTGTGCCTCAACAGCTAGACACATGAATCTTCTCCCACCTTTGACTAAACTCTTATCTAATGAAGCTCTTCCTAATTAGTACTGCCTGCCTATCAATTCCTGTTAACTTCCCTCATCCTACCTAAAACATACTTAACTCTTTTCCTTCACTGACCATCCAGTTTTCCATTTTCCTGTAGAACTAATAACAGTGATATTAAAATAGTCAAAGATGCACAGTAAACAAATTGCGCCCCTGGGAAATTAAAAACCTTGTGGCTGTAATAATCAAGTAACAATTATACTTAAATGTTTTAATCTTGGCTCTGCTTTGCTATGCAATCTTTCCTTAAGTATTTAAAAGGTAGTTAGAAAAACAGAAACCCTGATAACCACCTTTTGAGTAGTTTATAGAGAAAGCAACAGTTTAGAAGCAAGCAAATACTAAAACAAGGTTTAGTTACTGTCAATCCACTACTAAAGATACCTTATTTGTAAAAGTATGTTGCAGACAGGCAGGCACAACTGAAAATTCTCCTTTGTTTTCTGGTAGTAGAATTAAAAAGCACTGAGTAAAACATTAAAAAATAGAGGCAAAACATAATGCCCCACCCCCCATTTGGATTTTTTGTGTTTTTAAACACAAACATTTAAAAAAATCACTGCATGGCTGAAGTCTATATGGATAAACAAATGCCAAAGTTGAAAAATATATTAAAAAGGTAGGCAGCAACACTGAACACCTACCTTATGCCAGTCCCCATGCTAGGTACACTTACAAAACGTTTCTTAATCTTCCACTTAAACCTTTTGAAGGAAGTATAATTTAAAAACCAAACAGTCTTAAGTAGTCAAAAAAATTACTTATCTAAACTTAAATTATACCAAGTAGAAACCACCTCCCCACTTGATTCTCAAAATTATTTAACCTCAAGTTAAGTAAATGACTCAGATTCAGAGCAACAGTTGGGTAAATTGTAATTTTTTTATTGGAAAACAAATATACAACTTGGAATGGATTTGAGGCAAATTGTGCCATTAAGCAGATTTTCTTTAAGTGGCTAAAACAAAGTTTAAAAAGCAAGTAACAATAAAAGAAAATGTTTCTGGTACAGGACCAGCAGTACAAAAAAATAGTGTACGAGTACCTGGATAAAACACCCGTTTTGCAATAGTGCAACTTTTAAGTACATATTGTTGACTGTCCATAGTCCACGCAGAGTTACAACTCCACACTTCAACAACAACATGCTGACAGTTCCTAAAGAAAACTACTTAAAAAAAAAAAAGGCATAACCCAGATGTTCCCTCATTTGACCAACTCCATCTAAGTTTAGATGTGCAGAAGGGCTTATTAGATATATCCAGAGTAAGCCACATGCAACATGTTACTTGATCAATTTTTCTAAAATAAGGTTTCAGGACAATGACAGTAAGATAAGGGAAGAAAACATGGAGGAATGAAGTCCTAATTACTATACATGCATATTTTTTTTGACAACAGGGGGGAAACCTTTTACAGATAAGTTACAAACAAAGAAAAGGCAAATAAACAATTTTGTACAAGAAATTTAACACATTCTGTACAATGTCTTCACTTTGCTGTCATCATTTGTACAAACTCTGAAAAAGAAGTACACAAAAATGTTGAGTCAGAAGTACACAAAAATGTTGAGTCAATGGCAAAAGTCTGACAAAACCAATCACATTTACTCAATCACTAAGCAGTCTCCATTCCCCTTTCTTTCCTCAAAATTATCATGAAGTACAGAAGAAAGCTAGTTTACTGCCAAGGCTGGACCTTCATAAACCAAAATTATTTATGATTATTAATGAATAAACCAAATTAATGCTTTAGATAAGCTATTACAAATAAAAAGCATTCTTGCTCTTAGTTCAGTATCACATATGATACTTCTGAACTGAAGCATGTATAATTTTAGACTTAAAGCTAATTAGAGGGAAGGAAAATCCAATGAAAGAAAGTCACCTTAACTTTCAGGATCTTGAAATAAGTTTGAAGAAGATTTTCACACTGTTCCACAATTGTTATTGGAGTGTAGTGCTTCTCAAACTTTAATGTGCATTATGAAGTCACCCAGGAATCTTATTAAAATGTAGATTCTAAGTAAAGGGACAGGATCTGATAATAAATAGTTCTAAAAAGCTCTCAGGTGACAATGATGTTGCCTAATCTGTGCACAACACTCTGAATAGCAAAAGATTGGTAAATATCAGTAACTGTTTTAGCATCTCCAATTCTGGTGGTGGGGGGAATGTCACTAATTTTGACCTATCAGATACCTAACAAGAACCTCTACCTTAAAGTCAAAACACAGAATACGGCAGTGACAGTGAAAGACTTACCTTCATAGTTTACTTGACCATCACCATCGATATCTGCTTCCCTGATCATTTCATCAACCTCTTCATCTGTTAACTTCTCTCCAAGGTTTGTCATCACATGGCGGAGCTCTGCTGCACTAATATAGCCATTACCATCCTACAAAAAAATGTAGTAAAACGTCTAAGCAAAATTATAGACGTAACGAGTTGGAATAGAAGTTTATTAAACTTCACATTAGGGAGCAAAATATACTTTAGTAATCTATACAAACTAAAGAGAGTTTACAAATAGCTGACCTATATATTAAATGTCACTGAGAGTCAAGCAGGATATTCTATATTGAAATCACAATTTCTTGGTTCCAAAGTCAAGTGATGCCTCTTTCGCCACAAAACTAATGCAATATATATGTTATTAGGAAACCTCCATCTACACTGAATTCTTAAAAAGCTTTTGCTTGATATTAAAATATGTTGGTAAATCATCAGAAAAACAAGTCTTCACAGATTAAGAGGTCCTGATATCTTTTTATCCTCAAATTAAAATTGAACAAATCCAGTCTTTGGATACTTACCTTATCAAACACACGGAATGCTTCTCTAATTTCTTCTTCACTGTCTGTGTCTTTCATTTTTCTTGCCATCATTGTCAGAAATTCCGGGAAGTCAATTGTGCCGTTACCTGAAATGGTTTGTTTAGTTGAAACATTACAACAGAACTTAAATGCCAACTCCCCCTTCCCAAACCCTGAAACTAAAAAGACTTACCATCAGCATCCACCTCATTAATCATGTCCTGTAACTCTGCTTCTGTGGGATTCTGCCCAAGAGACCTCATTACAGTTCCCAACTCCTTTGTTGTTATAGTTCCATCACCATCCTTGTCAAATAGTGAAAAAGCTTCTTTGAATTCTGTTTGAAAGAGAGACCACAATCCAAATGTACAGGTTAACAATAAAAAAGTAACCTCCTAAATGAAATGTATTCATCAACCGTCAAAGCAAACATATATAGAGAGATAGGACCTGAAATGGGATTTTGATTCCTGAAGGATTAGGTGAGGAAACCTTGTGGTATTTCAAACATTTTTAGCTAATCATATGCTCATGTATTGATCTGAGAGTTTTTTCATCTAAAATCTTACAGGGAACTTCAAAATGTAGTCCAGATAAGAGTCAAACTATTGTTGAAAGAGGAAAACACTCAAAGCCCCAGATGACTGGCTTCTCTATTTTCTGTTGAAGCTGCTCTGTGGAACACAATTCAAAATTACAGATCT